TGAGGAGATGGAAGACCCAGGATGTATGACCCCCTGCCCTTGGGAGAACTCTGGACATGGCTGGGGGGCTGGGCAAAGAGATACTTGCAACAGCATATGGAGGATCCTAGCTATGGATTTACAGCATTGCACTGCAGGACCCAGAAGCAGGCATGGGGGCTTCCTGAAGAAGAAGAACATCGAGCTGAGCCCCCAAAGCATCTAGAAGAGTGAGGAAGGGGAAGCTGCCAAGAGGCTTTTGAGCAGACCCAGCCACTGGGCACCCTGTGCTTTAAACATAGATAAATGAATAAATAGACTGAGCATGATGGCACATGCCTTTAATCCCAGCACCCAGGAGGTAGAGGAAGGTGAATCTTTGTGAGTTGGAGGCCAGCCTGGTCTACATAGCAAGTTCCAGGCCAGCCAGGGATACATAGTGAGACACTATCTCAAAAAACCAAAAAGTTTAAAATGAATGAATGAATGAATGAATGAATAATAAATGACATAAAGGTGGGATGAGATAAGGATCTAGTGGAGTTGAAGGGAGGTAGTGGTAGATGGTTCTGATCAATATGCATTATATAAATGTATGGAATTTCAGAGAATAAAAATACTTTTAAAGGTGTTATCTTAAAATAATTATAGACTTGGGCTGGAAAGATGGCTCAGCGGTTAAGAGCATTGGTTACTCTTGAAGAAGACCCAGTTTTGATTCCCAGCACCCATATGATGGCTAACAACCATGCATAACTCCAGTTCCAGGTGAATCTGATGCCTTCTTCTGACCTCCATGGGCATTGATGACACAGGTTCTCTTACATACATGTAGGCAATACATTCATACACATAAAATAAAAATAATAAACTATTTAAAAAATAATTATAGACTGCAAGAAGTTGTAGAGACTGCGGAAATGGTTCAGTTAGTAAAGTGCTTGCCTTGCAAATACAAGGACCTGAGGTCAGTCCCTAGTACCCATATAAAAACAAAGGCCAAGCATGGCAGTGCATGCTTGTAATCCTAGTGCTGAGTCAAAGGGTATCTGGGGCTCACTGGCCAGCCACCTGGAATTTGGTGAGACCCCCATCTCAAAAGAAGGTGTCTGGCATGATGGCATACCCTTTTAATCCCAGCACACAGGAGGCAGAACCAAGTAGATCTCTGTGAGATGGAATACAGCCTGGTCTACATAACGAGTTCCAGGTCATCTAGGGCTACAAGGAGACCCTGTCTCAAAAACAAAAACAAACAAACAAACAAAAAAGATAGATTGTGCTGAGGAAATGATATCTCATGTTGTCCTTTGGCCTATACACACATGAGAGAGAGAGAGAGAGAGAGAGAGAGAGAGAGAGAGAGAGAGAGATCCACAAAGACAAAAGATGAAAAAATACTCATAAAAATAATATGAAAAATTTCCAAATCCCTATGCCCTGACTTCCCCTAGTGCAATGGAAGGATAACTGTAGAATGGTATCAGAATTGGAAGTTGATCTTGACACAGCATAATTAGCTGGTCATCAGACCTTACTTGGCTTTTGCCATATTTTGTGTGAGCATTCTTTGCATGTGTATATTTGTATAAGTTATTTATTCCATGTAAAAATCCATATTACCCCCAAGTCAAGGCAAAGAATAACTCCATCACTGTAAAGCACTCCCTCCAGGGTATACCTTCAGGTTGCCCATTATGTGCCTTTCACAGACCCCAAGATGTGGCTTCTTCTGTGCTCTACTCGTTGAGCTGGGCAGGTCTGCCTGTCCTGTAACTCTGCCCAGTGAGGCCTTTCTAGGGGAGGGAAGATTAGATACAGGTGTCAAGGAAGAGGTCTCCTAACATGAACTTCTGTGAAAAGGTCCATCTTTCTGAGTTATTTGCAGAAGGAAAAATAAACCCTGTAGACTCAGTTCTTCCAAGGTGAGGCTTAGGGACAAGGCTTTGGGGATTCAAAACCACGGACAGCACCAGGAAGACAAGGTACTTGTGTGCTTCCCTGGGTTGCCTCCTAATCTGGAGATTCATTGAACTTGGGTGACCCCCCCACCCACCCCACAGGACCACAGGACTGGGAAGTGAGGACATTTGGAGAGGGCAGATTCCTGCTTTCTGTAATTCAGGACTCATCCTGAGCCTTCTGTTCTGTTGCTCTCTCCTTGACTTTCCCACCTTGCTTGCTTCCTCTGGATTAATTTACCCCACAATCTGGCAGCACCATCGGAGACAGCCCAGAAGCACACCGTGTGCTTTTCTCTGCCGTCTCCCACATACAAGGCTGCACCCCCCGACAAAATGTGACTACCTCACGGCAGGACCAACTTGTCCTTCACTCCCGTCTTCCACTGTCTCTCTTTTTCCCACCCAGCGTAGGACTAAGCGCTCAGGGTTTTTCTGGAGGACATTAGCCAGGAGATGTCTCTAGCCTCAGTTTTATTCTCCTTTCACTGGACATCTTTTCTATTTCACATTGTTAAGACAGAGAAGAGAAGGAGCATAGTCAAATGCCTTCTTACCTTTGCCACTTAAGTCTGTAAGGCTCTTGTCTCTTTTAAGCCCTTGTTGGTAGGTTGCTTCACTGCTGAGATTCTCTGTGTTTTGTGGAGTTGCCCTCATCAAGCCTAGGGAACAGCTTCCCCACTGGCATCACCGAGAAACCTAGCCATGGATGCTGGGCTGCACCATCCTGACAGCCCCTTTGGGGATGAAGGACTTAATCTCCTAGTTGCTAGAGGATGGTTGCTTGACAACTCCCACCTGTCAGCCCCTCTGGGGTTGCTCCAGGTAACGCCTCATCCAAGGCACCTCACACCCACTGACTGGTCAGTGACAGGATTTAAAGGTCCAGTCCCCCCTCTAAAATACTGGGCAGCTCTGAAAGGTCACCCCATCTTTCAGTTCCTGTGGAATCAGCTGAGGCATCCATTGAGACTGCCCTGCAGCCTGACTTCTTGCCTCTGCCCCATCATGTTTCCTCCTCTCTCCCATAAGCATTGGTCCTGAGACCATGCTTGGATAAAGTCAGCATATGGATCATCTTAGCATCGGTTTTCAGGTGACTACATGTGATATCTCTACAGCCCTGACCCTCTGGGATTAAGCTTCTTGTTAACACTTCTGTCACCAGCTGACTACACAAACCCAGTGGCACCAAGGCAGAGGAGAACCACCTTACATATCAATTTTCCCAAGTCTCCTGAAAGATTACATTAATTCCACTTCCTATGACAATGCTTAACCTTACTTCTAGAAAGTTCCTGGGGCCACCTGCATAGGGAAATGGTCTTTGAAGGCAAGCAGATTGAGACCAGGATCCTAACTCCTCCACTAACCAACTAAGTGACCTTGGAAAGTTCCCTAATCTCTCTAAGCTACTATTCCCCAATTTGGAAACAGTATGTGCTAGATAGCTTTGGTGTCAATTTGACACACCTGGGTTGAGGGAGCCTCAACTGGGGACTTGCCTCCATGCCTCTTGTGGCCATGTCTGTGGGGGAATTTTCTTGATTGTTGAGTGATGTGGGAGGGCCCAGTCCACTGTGGGTGGTGCCACCCCTGGGCAGGTTGACCTATGTTGTATAAGAAAGCAGGTTGAGGGGCTGGAGAGATGGCTCAGTGGTTAAGAACACTGACTGTTCTTGCAGAAGACCCAGGTTCACATCTCAGCACCCACATGGCAGCAAACAACTATCTGTAACTCCAGTTCCAGGGGATCCAACAGCCTCTTCTGTCCACGGCAGGCATTTGCACAGCACGGGTGCACATTACCGACATGCGGGCAATACACACATACACATAAAATATAAATAGATAGATAGATAGATAGATAGATAGATAGATAGATAGATAGATAGATAGATAGAGATAAAGCAGGTTGAACATGGCCAGGGGAGCAAGCCAGTAAGCAGCGTTCCTCCATGGGCTGTGCTCCAGCTCCTGCCTCCAGGTTCCTGCCCTAAGTTCCTACCTTGGGCTCCCTGATGACCTGTGACCCAGGAGATGTAAGACAAATAAACCTTTCCTCCCCAAGTTGGTACTGGTCAGAGTGTTTTAATAATAATAATAAAACATTGTAGATTTGTTGTGAGGACTAAATGACACAACACAAACAAAAATGCTTATAAACCATAGTGTCTGGTGAACAAACATGTACTCAACAAATGTTTTTATCCTTCCCTTCTTTTATGTCTGCAGTCACCTTGTAACAAATTGTCAATTCATATTTTTATTTTTTATTTATTATTTTTATCTTATGTATAGTAGTGTATTGTCTGCATATGTGTAAGTGCACCCATGTCAGGCATTGCCTGTGGAGTTCAGAAGAGGGTGTCAGATCCCCTGGAACTGGACTTATGGATGGTTGTTAGCCACCATGTGGGTGCTGGAAATCAAACCCAGGTGGGTGCTGGGAATCGAACCCAGGTCCTCTGTAAGAGCAGCCATCTTAACTGCTGAGCCTTCTCTCCAGCCCTCCATATTTTATTTTAATTAATTATTCATACAATATGATTAAACTAACCAACAGTTTTTTAAGTTTTTATTTATATTTATGTGTATGTGTATGACACTTGTGTGCAGGTACCCATGGAGGCTGGAAGAGGGTGTTGAATCCACTGGATTAAGTTATAGGTGGTTGTGTGCCATTCAGTGTGGGTTCTAGAAACCAAACTCAGGTCCTCTGCTAGAGCAGTATGTGTTCTTAACTGCTGAGCCATCTCTCTAACCCCAATGCCCCAATTAATTGTGTGTGTGTGTGTGTGTGTGTGTCTGTGTCTGTGTGTGTGTGTGTTTGAGACAAGGTCTCACTCTGTATTCCAGAGCACACTATGTAAACCAAGCTGACCTCAAACCCATGACAATCCACCTGCCTTGGTCTCTTGAGTGCTGGGATCATAGGCATGCACTATACCCAGCTAGTGATCATCTCAATGGAGAGCATTACCAGCTCATACAAACCAAGAAGTATCAAGAATTTCAAGTCTGTCTGCAATCCTTTGACTTGTCTGTTGTTTTAAAGGATAGGCAGATCACAAACCCAGGCATCCCAACAAAGCAGGTGGTTGATCTTAGGGAAAAACTTTACCTGCTCAAGAATTCATCTCACATTAGCAGCGAGGATTCAAGCATTGCCCTGAATTGTTATTCTCCATACTCAGAAGTAAACCATCCAGCTTACATTTTTTAAATTGACTCATTATTGAAAATCACAAACACAGATGTGGTACCAGTCTACATAAAAGGTTTAGAATTTTCCTTGGGATGGATGAGGGAGGTGGGGTGAAGCTCATTCAACTTAACTTTTCCATATGTTTAGTCATTTTCTAAAATGATGTTGGGAAATTCTTGGCATCTAGTGAAGGGTCCTGGTTATGTGAGGAACAGTGACTGTTTTCACTTTAATCAAAGGGGAAATAGAGCCCAGCTACATCACCTTTTATGCCTGCCTGGAGCATAGATTCTGTCCCCTTAAGACACCTGACCAGTCCTTCTTAAGTGGTAGGTGAAGGTGTGGGAGGGGCTGGTGCCTTAACTAACTGGTGCTTGGAGCCTACCTGTCATCTAGGAGAGAGAGAAGATGTGAGCAGATGATCAGCCTCAAGAGTCTTGTGGGGCTGGGAGATGGCTCAGGGTAAGGCACTTGCCTTCCAAGCATGAGGATGGGAGTTCAGATCCCCAGAACCCACTTAAAATGATAGGTGTGGGGGCCTGCCTATAATTTCAGTTCCAGAAGGCGGAGACAGAGGATTCCCCCAGAGCAATCTGGTTGTGAGACTAGCTGTATCCATGAACTCTGGGTTTGACTGAGAGACCCTGCCTCAATGAATATGGTAGAAGAGGAAGAGCAGTCAAGGATGATTCCCAACCATCAACCTCAGGCCTCTGCAGAGACGCATATACATATGCCTGCATACCCACACACCTACACATATGCAAAAAACTATGTACACACACAACACACACATACCTGAAAAGTGAAATGGTGAAAATGGAAAAAGCTTTGTGAAATATAACTTGTCCCTAAAATGCTCCCTCCACCCTCTTCCTGCTCCCTCAGCCTTACCTCCCCCATATCTTTCTCCTATCTCCCCAGGTAAGCAGGGGAGGCCTTGACCTTCTGAGGGCTGGTACCACCTTCTCAGCACACAGTCATGAACCTGGCATTCAGGGGGAGCGACACACCTGATATGAATTCTACTCCAGCTGGGTCTTTCAGACAACCTCAGACAACCAGCACATGCTGTCCTCAGCTACACCAACACGCCAGGCTCAGAGAATGCTGAGTTCAGCCCCAATTAAAGGGCCATCTCAGGGCAGGCTGCAGGCCCCAGCAATTGCTATTCTGGGGCTTGGTGAATGCTCTGCCTCTCTTCTCTCTCTTTCTCTCTGCTCCATCTCTGCTCTTTTATTTTCCTTCTCTCTCCACTATTTTTACCATCTTTTCAGGTTTTTCTCCCTGAGTATGTATTTCTTTTCATCTCTTCATTTGTCTATCTCTGGCTGCTCCTCCTGTCTGTGACTTGATATCCTAAGTATTTCATCAAATAAATCTGTCAATCACTACTTCTGTTATTCCTACTTCTACCTCAATGACTGGGCTCCAAGAAAGAGGACGTATGTAGGTTCCTGGCCTTGAGGAGCCCTGGGGTATGCCCTGCCTTTCTCTGCCTCTTCCTGCCCCTCTCTGCACCTTCATTGGTTCTATCTACCCTACTCAGGGGTCCCAGTGACTGCTTCCATAGGCCAATGAGAGGGCTCTCATTGCAGATACCCCATGGAAAAGAATGGAGCCTGCAGTTTCTATGCCCCCAAGTGCTCAGTTCCCAGGCCTGCCTTTATATGTATTGCTAAAATTCCTTAGAGGGAGGATGTAAACAACATCCACCCCCTTGTCCCTTGGTCCCAACATCAAATGGAGATATGATTCCATCAAAATGTACTCCGGGAAACCAATGAATTTATTGGGCTTGCTTACAGAGGGTGAGAGCTTCCTTACAGGAGTGTAGGTCCCCCACCCCCCAAAGGCCACACTGGAAAGTCTTGACCCAAGCATGGTTGATATCTTCCCTACAGACATCTAAAATGGCAAAAGACCCTCTCTTATACACTCTAACTCAGTTTGGGATATGTGGTTGGGATATGGGATAGAGGTCTGGTGACTCTCTCTGCCCCTCCTTCTGTGCTGGGGAATGAACAGTCAACAAGCCCAACTGTGAGGATCTTTGGCAAGGAGGCACAGCTGAGCTCAGGAAGATGGTCTGTCTGTCTCAGAGGACAGTGCTGTACAATAGTGGGGTAGTGGGGGTAGGGACTTCTCTCCTGCTAGGCTTTCAGAGCCAAAGACTCTGCAATAGAGGCCCAGGCCATTCCACTCGTGTTTCTGGCCCCGGGGATACCTGGAAAAAGGCCCATAGGACAGTTTTGTCTCCCTGGGTGTTACAGTATTTTTTATTATAATAATTTAGTCTCTTAAAAACATTTATTTTTATTTTATGTGTATGAGTATTTTACCTGCATGTATGTTAGTCAGAAGGCTTGCATGTAGGCCAGAAGAGGGAGTTAGAGTCCTTGGAACTGGAGCTACTGAGGGTTGTCAACCCCAGTGTGATTGCTGGGAACTGAATCTAGGTCCTCTGCAAGAGCAACCAGTGCTCTTAACTACTGAGCCATTTCTCCAATCCCTAATCTTTTTTTATTTTTTAAAGACTAGGGTCTCATGTAGCCCAGGCAGGCTGGCCTCAATCTTTCTCAGTCTTGAACTTCTGATCTTCATGCTTCCACCTCCCAAGTTCTGGGATACAGGCCTGAGCCACCATGCCCAGTATATGTTGGGCTAGGGATTGAATCCAGGGTTTGCACTCATGCTAGGAAAGCATTATGCTGGTCTTAAGATCTGTCTCTTGAAAGTGTTCATAAGCCAAAATAATGGCTCTATAGGGGAGCTTCAGTGAGGGAAGTTAGGCTTGGGGGTGCATGTCAAGCCATGAAGAAATGAAGCCAAAATGCTTGAAACAGAGGCAATTTATTACTTACAGGTCCCAGAGAGGCTGAGAGTGATGAAAGGAGGCTGATGGGAAGCCCAGAGGTCACAGAGAACTCAACCTGAGTGTGTGTATATAGGGAGGGATGGAGGAATGGAAGGAGGAGAGAGAGAGAGAGAGAGAGAGAGAGAGAGAGAGAGAGAGAAACCTGGAGACCATGTCTTTATTAAAACCCATGGGCCTCCGCCTTTAGGTGTCCTCAGGTGATTGAGATTGGCTAAAGAAAACACAGCAAAGGGAGGAACTTTTTTACATAACTTTGGCATTGATTGCTAGGTTTTACTATTGCCAGCAGCTGTGGAATGTGCTGGCTGTTGGGTCAGTGGGATAAGGAAGCAGACTGTCTAGGAACCTTTAAGTAGGTTGGGGGTGAAGTGGGATGTAGTACGTTTGAGTTTCAAATAACTCAAGTCAGACCTAGGATTGTGTTGAGTTATTGATGTTGGGTCAGACTGGCAGACCATACTCCTAGTCAATCAAGACATTCAGGATTCATGAACCAAACAAAGCACTTTCACCATCACCTCCCCATTCTCCTCTTTTCAGACACAAGGGCCTCCCTGAAAGATCCATGATTGGGACACACAGGGCTTTTAAGGGTGCCTTGTCCCCATTTTCTCTGCCTTTCCTGTCCTCCTTCTTGACCCCTGCCCACCCTGTCCTCCTACCCTCCTTTTACATTCACACTACTCTGCCCCATGCTCTTGCACTGACTCCCACTGATTCCTGCAGGCCGCATTTCACCGACCAGTGCTCTTTACTCGAGTTATGGAGTAGGAGTGTTGAAAGGGAGCCACCTGAGAGCTCTCCAAGGTACTTCCTCTCTAGGACCCTCCTCTTCCTGGGCTTCCCCGCATTCTAGGAATATATATATGCACTATTGAATGACTGTTTAAAAATTAGTACCTATTATGTGCCTGGCATTATGAGGCAATCTCAGACGTATTATCATATTGAGTTAGAGACCAGCCCATTCTAGAGTAGAAGAAATTGGAGCCAAAGAGGTTATCCAAAGCCACATCATTAGGCTTAGGCTAGGAGACCCTGTCTCCGGGTACCATAGCTGGGTCTTGTCCTGAACCACAGCTCCTGCCTGGAAATAAACAAGAGAGGGAAAATACTTCTATAGTTCTTGTTCAGGGAATGTGTTAATTTACTCACTTTCTTACGGTGCTGGAGATCAAACCCAGGGCCTGGCTAATGCGAGGCAAGCATTCTACCACTCAGCTACACCCCAGCTGTGAAAGCTCACTGCCCCTAGCAGCTGTTTGAGAGCTACATGCAGCACTTCAGGGGCAGAGCACGCTGAGCTAGACTCCAACCTGCTCAGGACCTTGGCTCTTAGCGGAGCAGAGCAGCCCATGCTCTGGGCTAGGTGGGCCCAGTGGGTGAGAAGCCTGAAGGTGAGAGGATGTCCCATAGCAAACAGGATGTTCCTTAAGCTGATGTCAGTCAGGGGTTTAGAGATGAAGGCACCAAGGGCTCTGGGGTGGCAGGTAAGATCCAGCCTCCAGTACCTGGTGGGTAACAGGAGGCTAGTTCTTTAAGACTGCTTTTGAAGCTCTCTGGGGAGGGATGTGTGACTGAAGGCCTGCCTGATGAACAGTGTCCCCCTCAGGCCTGTGGCCTGAAGAAACACCTGAAGTCAGTTTGAAGCCGGGGGAGCAGGCTGGGGAGGTGCTTTCATGCCTGTCTTCAGTGACTTTATCAAGCTCCCTCTGCTCTTTGTCCTTGAGCTGTGATGTCAGGCTATGTCAGATGAAGAAGCAGGTGGAACAAGGGCTGTGTCAGGTGGCTAGAAAGGGAAGAACATTCCTGCCCTGGTGGTGGGGGCCTCTGCTACTGCTAACAGCCGGAGATCCCAAGCCTTCTCAGATCCCTGACCTTCGGGGGCCTCTGGCTCTTGAGCCCACTTTGCCTGGCTGCCAGGCTGGGCGTGGCTTTCCTTTAGGACTTCTTTGTGCCCTATGTGGCTGATCCTGGTACTTTTCATACTGGCTTGTCATTGCTGGTGGGGACATTTCCTACAGAAAGCCTGCACCTCCTGGAAAGCAAAGGCTGCATATGACTCCAAAGTCCATTGGGGTGAGGATGATGAAGAAACAGGTGGGCAGCCAGCAGTTTCCAC